TAGGATTAAAAATAAATTTACTAATATTTTTTTTTAAATATATATATATATATAGATAGATAGATAAGTACCTCCAAAGATTCACTAAAAAATGAGCTTACATGTTAAAAAGAAATGCTCAAAACTTAAAAACTAAGATTTATCAGCAAACTCTTTGTTATTATTAAGAGGAAAGATCAGAGGATATGTAAAGATTTTTTTCAATCCTTTTTAGAACCTTTAAATAAAAATCTTGTTTTTCCAGTTTAACTTTTTACCATAAATTAGCAAGGGAGATTTTAACATCTTTTGGTAGTGCAAAACACGCTGATCTGGAAATTCTTTCAAAAATCTGATGTTGGATTTTAATGAAACCTTCAGGACTTAATTCACAAATGAGTTAAATTATTTTTTAAATGTTTCATTTTTACAAAATCTTTGTAAAAATAGATTTTTATATATATATATATATATATATATATATATATATATATATTCTTATATTAGTTATAAAAGGAATTGGAGAATTTAAATCATTAAATTTTTTGGTCAATCAGGACCCCCAGTTACAGAAAATCTGCTCTGGATTGTAAAATAAAAAATTCAATAGAATTAAGACATTATTTAATTAGGAAGATTGATTTTATGTACAAAATATATTATAGGTACTATTGTCTTAAAAAAGATTTTTGATGAATAATGGATTTTTATAAGAATTGTTTTAATTTTCTTTTAATATTAATTAGAATAATTTATAAACTTTTAAATCTTTTAAAATTCTGTATTAATTAGTAGCAATTAAGTAATATTGTTATTAAATTAAGATTATATTTACTAACCATAAATGCAAAAGTTGACTACAATTCAATGACCCCAATATTTCAAAAAGAATTTTGAATTTATTTTATGTGTATAACCCTGTTAATTTTTGTAAATACAGATGTCCAAACATGATATTATCAAAAAATAAGAGTGGTAACTATAGAAAAGTTAAAATTTATTTGGTAATTTTCTAACATCTCCTCAACAAGTATCTACATAAGTTTGACTATAAAGCCAAAGTAACTAAAATTCAATGAAATATTAGATTGCTTAGAGTTATTTCATAAATTTTCAAGATTACTGTGTAGTTAAAAGAAATATATAAAAAAGACATTCATGTTATATTCATCAAGAAATTGTTAGTGATGCATGAGTTATAAAAAAATCACAATTGCCAACACCCCATAAAAACACCAACTTCCATGTTAAAAATTGCTTTTCTGCATTATTTTAAGAGTTTCTTTAGAGATACATACATACATACACACACACACACACATATATACACATATATATATATATATATATATATATATATATATATATATATATATATATAGAGAGAGAGAGAGATCCAACTAAATATGTTAGCTCTATCACTGATATAAAGAGCTTTCAATAAACACCATGCATATATAATATATAAATAATATATATAAAAATTGTTTTGAAATAGAGAATATTAGAGACAGAGTAAATAGTATATAGTGAAAATTTCAGATTAAAATAATTGTACCTAACCATAAATTTACTGATGCCATTTTGTACTCTAAAATGTATATAAATATATATATATATATATATATATATATATATATATATATATATATATATATATATATATATATGTGTGTGTACACACACACACTGTATCATATTCCTTAATGTATTTACAACTCAAAGCATAAGGCTATGGTTTTTTAGTTAAATAGTATCAATTACTGATCTGAACGTTCAAGAAATTTTGTAGAAAATATGTGCTTCTCTGACATTTCTCAAACATTCATGCCGGTAAATGTAATTAATACTGTTTAACTAAAAATCAGAGAATTTACTTAAATAAATTATATCCCTAAAAATAACATATAAATTGAGAATATATTAAAATAATTGTCGGACTTAATCCATTACATGTTAAGATATAGTTCGTGACCAGATATGATTGATTAAGAAAGATCTTCGAAGGTTTATGTTTATAAACAGAAATTTGAATGTTGCTAACCAGACGTTTCTTTGTGGCTGAATGGTTAACAGCACATCAGATCAAATGATGGTTCCTTATGCGATACAGGATCGATTCCTATCAGAGAAAAATATTTTCTACAAATTTCTTGAACATTCCAGCCAGGAAATCTAATTAATACTGTTTAATTAAAAAACAGAGCATTTACTTAAATAAATTATATCTATAAAAATAATGTGTAAATGGAAAATGTATATATATTTGTGTATTTAGATAGCAATCCTTCTTTCATGCACAATTCATTGAATATGACAGACAAAGTGATTTGATTTAGTTTTTTATACAATTTCATATGTGATCTAATAAGTTTTTTCTTTTTGGATAATAAATTATATAAAAACTATTCAAATGTTCTTTTTATCTGAGTGCGTTCAGCTGTACATTTAGCCATTTTCAAGGTTGAAATATATTAACTGTTAACAAGAAATAGTTTGTTGCATGTATGTATTTATATAATGTTTTCATTTTCAAAACACAATCAAAATATTGTGTCCATGTTCATAGTTGATATTATTGAGTCTTGTTTTTTTAGTTTTTATTAATAGGGTTTCCATTATTTTTAGACGTATTTTACATGTAGATGACTATATATATATATATATATATACACACTCACACTGAAATTCTCACTATATAATGTCCACTATGTCATTAATATTTACCATGAATTATTTTCACTGACAAGAAAGGAAATTATATTGAAAAATATATATTTGTAGTGTAAAATATGTTTTTTTTCATCATTAAGCTACAGACTTCCTGGTGTGTTATATATATCATACAGACATCTAGCCACACTGTCTGTGGATGACAATATATATGCTCCCGAAAAGTTTATTTCGGTTATGTTCTCCAGGGAGGAAGTGTGAGTTTGTAAATAGTGACTATTATGGCTAATAATGCAAAACTCTTCGGTAAAGTGAATCGAGTTCTCTCAGTCACTGTGTGTTTATCCCAAAATAAATATGATTAAATTCACCTTCATCCCTGCCGTGTGCCAATGGCTTAGAGGTAAAATCTCTGACTGATGCTAATTCAGCCAGGTTTTGATCCTAGCTACAGGCAACCGGACATCTAGGCACACTGACGAGCTGTGATACAGTGAAACAGTCTGTCTGTGGATGACAATATATATATATATATATATATATATATATAAATATATATATATATTTTGCAGCAAAAAAACAAAAATTACCTCAACATAGAGTTCTGTGCATGCCTATCATCAGCCCCTAAATAAATAAATATGCTCTGTTAAAATAAAAACATTGAGCTCTCTGTGGATCAGTTTTATAATTAATTTACTAGGATCCACCCAGATTATATACCAATGGATTGATTACCTGTACTAGTATATATATATATATATATATATATATATATATATATAGTTAGTTAGTTAAACATAGAGAGCCAGACAAACCTACCAAGGTTTCACCTAAGCAGATCATCAGGGAAGGCTGGCTAAAAGGTAACAAAAAAATGGAATATTTATAGTCTATAAACTAGGTTTATAGACTATAAACTGTAGACTATTTTTACTAGGTTTGCTCTACTTTTGTATTGAGCACTTTATTTAATCATTTTGTTTACTCGTATCGGGGTTTTTTCTTTGGACTTGCATGCTAGATGATCATTTTCAGCTAACGTACATGTTCTTGGTTCTTTCTTTTTTTATACCTTTTTTTCCCTTTGGTATTGGTTTGATTATTCACAAATCAAGACACCAAAGGTTTTCCGGGCAAGTATAATTTCTTATACTTATAAGATTATTACTACTGCTAATATATATATATATATATATATATATATATATATATATATATATATATATATATATATATATATATATATATATATATATATTACAATAAACGTGCAATCAATTTACAAATACATGAATTATTCACACAAAACTAATGCAAAAGGTTAATGATTTAAATGGCGAGACATCCATCTCTTAAAACAATTCAAATAGTACAAAAACCTCCAGATCCGTTATGAATCAATTGATCCTTGTTTATATAAATTTCTGCCGTATTAGTTGTTATTTTTACTACAAGCTTTCGTCTGTTCCTATCATTAACCTTTGCATTAGTTTTGTGTGAATAATTCATGTATATATATATATATATACACAAATGCACAGTCTACATTATTTTTTCTTTTACACCCAACAGTCTTTCGTGAGAGGACATTTGAAAATTCTCATGACCTTCGAACAAGTTAGTTGGATAGAACAACTTTTCTGTATTGTAGGTGTTGGGTGGGACATTTTAAATTTTATTACTTCTCCTGTAGTTGAAAGTAGATAATGCATTCTCACAAAGATATGAATGCAGTTTTGTCAAGTGTAGAACATGAATTTGTTCTTAAGTATGATTAATAACAGTAATATATTTTCACTTATAGTTATTTATTCTAAATTTATTACTGTTTATAATGCTTTCCCAGTAGATATTAATTTAAAAATGTGTCCTTCTCTTCTTCATCATCCTCACTCATTTAAAAAAACTGATACAATAGATATGTATTTTCTAAGAAATTAATGTATTTTTTAATTTTAATCTGAGAGTATTTCTTAGCATTATATTTTGTGGTTATTCATGTAGACATCACTATACAGTTGTTTACCATATAAGCAATGCTGGATTATGAACTTTTGCTGCCCATAAGCTAATGAAATTATAGGCCCTACACAGAAGGAGCCACCCTCTAACTCATCCACACATGTCTTGAATATTTTTTACTTGTGATATATCTTAGTAGCATTTACATAGCTTGAAGTAAACTGATTGCAAATTCTTTATCTTTTGTTTGTTAATAAAACTATTCTTTAAGAAATACCATTATTTTACTATTTACTGCAAACCAAATCAGCACAGATTTCAACACAACTGTAGTAAAAAACAAAAATAGATTTTTTATAACCAGCATTATAACAATAAAAGAATCAAAATAAATGAATTAGAAAGAATGGGATGAGTGAGAGAAAAGAAAAAGAGAGAGAGGGAGATTTAGAGATAGAGAGAATCAGAGAGAATGAGATGAGAGAGAGGATATTTAGGGAGGATGAGATGAGAAAGTGTGAGGCAGAAACAGGGGGGATGGCATGAGATAGTGAGAGATAATCAGAGAGTATGTGATGAAAGAGCAAAAAAGGATCAGAGTGGGTGGGTTGAGAGAGTGAGGGAGAATCAGAAAGAATGAAATGAGAGAGCTACAGACTTCAGAGAGAATGAAATGAGAATGCAAAGGAGTATCAGAGAGAATCAAATAAGAGAGAGAGGCAGAATCAGATAGAATTAAAATAGAGAGCAAGGGGGAATCAAAGTGAAAAGGATAAGAGAGCTAGAAAGAATCAGAATGAGAGTAAGGAGAATCAGAAAGAATGGAATAAGAGAGCTACAGACTTCAGAGAGAATGAAATGAGAATGCAAAGGAGTATCAGAGAGAATCAAATAAGAGAGAGAGGCAGAATCAGATAGAATTAAAATAGAGAGCAAGGGGGAATCAAAGTGAAAAGGATAAGAGAGCTAGAAAGAATCAGAATGAGAGAGTAAGGGAGAATCAGAAAGAATGGAATAAGAGAGCTACAGACTTCAGAGAGAATGAAATGAGAATGCAAAGGAGTATCAGAGAGAATCAAATAAGAGAGAGAGGCAGAATCAGATAGAATTAAAATAGAGAGCAAGGGGGAATCAAAGTGAAAAGGATAAGAGAGCTAGAAAGAATCAGAATGAGAGAGTAAGGAGAATCAGAAAGAATGGAATAAGAGAGCTACAGACTTCAGAGAGAATGAAATGAGAATGCAAAGGAGTATCAGAGAGAATCAAGAGAGAGAGGCAGAATCAGATAGAATTAAAATAGAGGGGAATCAAAGTGAAAAGGATAAGAGAGCTAGAAAAAGAATCAAGGAGAATGAAAAAGGAATAAGAGAGCTCAGAGAGAATGAAATGAGAATGCAAAGGAGTATCAGAGAGAATCAAATAAGAGAGAGAGGCAGAATCAGAGAGAGCAAAGAAAAGGATAAGAGAGCTAGAAAGGAAGAAGGAGAATCAGAAAGAATGGAATAAGAGAGCTACAGACTTCAGAGAGAATGAAATGAGAATGCAAAGGAGTATCAGAGAGAATCAAATAAAGAGAGAGGCAGAATCAGATAGAATTAAAATAGAGAGCAAGGGGAATCAAAGTGAAAAGGATAAAGAGAGCTAGAAAGAATCAGAATGAGAGAGTAAGGGAGAATCAGAAAGAATGGAATAAGAGAGCTACAGACTTCAGAGAGAATGAAATGAATGAATCAGAGAGCAAATAAGAGAAATCAGAGAATTAAAAGAGAGCAAGGGGGAATCAAAGTGAAAAGGATAAGAGAGAAAGAATCAAATAAGGGAGAATCAGAAAGAAGAGAGGCACAGAATCAGATAGAATGCAAAAATAGAGAGAGGGGCAGAATCAGAAGAATTAAAATAGAGAGCAAGGGGAATCAAAGTGAGAGCTAGAAAGAATCAGAATGAGAGAGTGAGGGAGAATCAGAAAGAATGGAATAAGAGAGCTACAGACTTCAGAGAGAATGAAATGAGAATGCAAAGGAGTATCAGAGAGAATCAAATAAGAGAGAGAGGCAGAATCAGATAGAATTAAAATAGAGAGCAAGGGGGAATCAAAGTGAAAAGGATAAGAGAGCTAGAAAGAATCAGAATGAGAGAGTGAGGGAGAATCAGAGAGAATGGAATGGGAAAGTGAGGGAGAATCAGGGAGAATGAAATGAGAGAGCAAGGGAGAATTAGTCAGAATGAAATGAGAGTGCAAGGGAACAATCAGAGAGGATGGACTGTCTCTCATTCCATCCTCTCTGATTGCGAATGAGAATCAGAGAAAATGGAATGAGAGAGCAAGAGAGAATCAGTGGATATAGGATAAGAGAGCTAGAAAAAATCAGAGAGAGTGAAGGAGAATCAGAGAGAATGGAATGAGAGAGCAAGGGAACAATCAGAGAGGATGAAATGAGAGAATGAGGAAGAAGCAGAGAGAATGGAATGAGGGAGCAAGAGAACAATCAGAGAGGATGGAATGAGAGAATGAGGAAGAAGCAGAGAGAATGGAATGAGGGAGCAAGAGAACAATCAGAGAGGATGGAATGAGAGAATGAGGAAGAAGCAGAGAGAATGGAATGAGGGAGCAAGAGAACAATCAGAGAGGATGGAATGAGAGAGCAAGGGTATTCAGAGAGAATGGAATGACATAGCGATGGAGAATCAGAGAGAATAAATGAGAGAGATAGGATAAGAGAGCTAGGGAGAATCTTAAAGGATAGGATGTGAGAGTGTGGGAGAATCAGAGAGAATAGAATGAGAGAGCTAGGCAATATTCAGAGAAAATAGAATGAGAGACAGAGGGAGAATCAGAGAGAATAAAATGAGAGAGCAATGGAAGAATCAGAACAGATGGGATGAGTGAGTGAGAAATAATCAGAGTGGATTGGTTGAGAGAGTGAAGGGAGAATCAGAGACAACTGGATGATTGTGTGAAGTAGAATCATATAGTATAGGAGGAAAGAGAAAAAGAATCGAAAAGACTAATGCAAAATCTGTCCGATGTTATGTTTAGATGAATGACATCTATCTCATTGTTCATTTAGTTTTTAATATAGTGAACAGAGAGGTACATAGAGAATAAGATAGATTTATTTAGATTATAAATAATGCAAGTATTAAATGAATATAAAATTGAGTGATTAACATTAACTGGGAGAATATGAAGAGAGGCTTGAATATTTCATCACCGCACCACAAAGTAATGGTAAAGTAATTACATAGACTAGACTAGATTAGACTAGTCTCTCTCTCTTTCTCTCTCTCTCTCTCACACACACACACACACACACACACACACACACACACAAACTAATAAAATAGGATATCTGTAAATTTAAACCCCCGATAGAACATTCAAGGTAGGCATAAAGCTCAAATACTGGTATCCACTAAAATTAATGTTTGAAGTAATATATATATATTTGATAAAAATATAGTTTTATGATATGCTATATTTATGGGTTAAAGTGCTTAATATCAAGTATAGAGTGTATGTAAATATAAAATTGAATATAGATGTTAATACCAAAAAACAACAGTCTGTTTCATGCTTAAATGCAATCTTCAGGCTATTTGAAGATTTTGTTTAAGCATGAAACAGACTGTTGCTGCTGGGTATTAACCTCAATGTCCACTTATACTTATATATATTGATATGCACACAACCACTGGACAGCCCTGTCATCCTCAGTGTATGAAGGTGCATTTCAGTTCGTAAAAACAAACACCCAAATTACTCACACATATGATTTGATTATAGTAGTGACAGCTTGTGCAAAACCAATCACACTTTTTAGAGGAACTGCATACAAAGAAATGGTAAACATAGTATGCCACAAAGTCTTCAAGTGACCCTCTTCAAGTTTTAGAATTCAGAATTGTTCTTGTAGACTGGTTGCCAACTAAGGCTTTATGGTCCAGTCACCCTTGCTATTTACCTATAGCTGGTGGGTAGAAGAGATAGATTCATACCTTTCTTCTGGGTAATTACACATAAGTGAATGTAATGAATGTGACTGATTTCCAATACAACCCATGATCCATTACACAATCATAACATATATATATATGTGTGTGTGTGTCTGTCTGTGTGTAGTTTGTGTTAGAACTATAATCAGTAAACAAGTCTCAACAAGATGGGTGCCAAATCTTCACTTGTTCCTCTATGATTGATTATCTCAGAATGTTCATATTGAAATCTCGTCATAATTATCTCTATGTAAGTTGAAGATCAAATGTAGGTCAAATATGGATCAAAATCTGACAGGATGATAAAATAAAAGAAGAAATAGGAAACATATATCAGTAAAACATGTTTCACTTTTATTAAAGTAAGAAATTGAGAGAAAATAGACAATCCCTATATCTATTTTTTCAGTCTGTTCATATCTCAGACTATTTGTATCTCTCCTGCAATGTTTACATCTATCCTCATTCCTCTCACTCACTCATTTTCTATTTCTCTCTAATTATCTTTCTAAATATTTATTAATGCAACTATTTTTAGAAAAACTTAACACTAGTTACATATGAATAACTATGTCTGCATTTGTGTGTCTATGGTCAATTCTTAACAAATACAAGCTATACTTAGAACAAGATCAGTGACTCGCAGCTCATTAAATAAATATTTACACTTACACACCACAAACTATTTGAACTGAAGTTGAGTGAATTTGAGAAACTGTTCTTGTCTTTTTTTATATTAAAGGAATCAAAAAATAAATCTAAAGTAACATGCATTTTTTTTGCAGTAGTACAGTAGCAAAAACTTACTAGGTACAATATCTTTAAATATAACTGAATATATAACAAAGCCTCACAGTTGGATGAAAAAAAGAAAATTGCTTAAAACAGATGTTTGAGCCATTGTTTCTTTGTTTCTTTCCAAAATTTGTGTCTGTGTGTGTGTGTGGGGGTGATTTAAACCTTCATTTTCCATTGCCTTAGTTGTTAGTTGGTTGTCTTTGTTTAGCAGCATATAAACCACTATCAGTTATTTAATGTTAAAATCTAAATATTTTGTATGCAATTTTATTTTATTTGGGCAGATAACAATGGTTTAGTTTTACTAATTAATCTGTAGCTGGTGGGTAGAAGAGATGAATTCATAACTTTTTCCCAAGGGTATTTGCACATAAGTGAATGCAATGAACCCAACTAGAATAGGAACTCAGCTCTTTGATTGAAAATTCTGAGTCATTATCTATTACACAACCCACAAATCAAAGCTTACATCACCTGGTATTTCTGAGTAGTCATACATTTACATGCTGATCAGGCTCGACATTGCTTACCTTTTGTGATCATACAGGATTCAGTGTTTCAACATGATGTGGCCATAAACCATGAATGTTAAAAGCGTTTTATTTTTAATGCTTTAAAATAACACTTGTTTGCTTTGTTTCTTAGAATTTTATCCCAACTGATAGATTAAACTAACAACATATTTGGATGTCAAGCATAGAAATACATAGAAATAAGTCCACAGTCAAATGATGAAAAAGCTTTTGTTTTATTATTATTTACACTATTTACATGCAGACTGTGATCATAATTTTTGTTGTTATCATAATGTTTCAGCTGTTATGCCCTCTGGCCTTCATCAATCCAGGTAAACTTTAGGGAATTTTGAACTGAACCCTTTATTTAATCTATAGATATAGATAGAGTGTTCTAACTCATCTGCTCAATTATTGCCTGTGCTGTTTCCACTGAGTCCAAATACACAGTCTGGTCCCGGGATTGAACATACAATTACAATTCATGAACCAATGCTTTAAATCCACTAGGCTATTGTTATTTTATATAACAAATATTTAGTTTTCAAGATAATTTTCTTCCTTGTTAACTCAGTGTTGAAAATTGATCATATGGATTAAACATTCTACTGTGAAAATTTCAGATCAAAATTCAGTTCATATCAGATCTTACTGATTCACCCTTATATAAGGGGATATTGTGAGGAAAAAAAGCAGTTTGTTAAGAAGATGATGTCCATATCTGTGTGATCTTTCAAATTCTGTTGCTATAGGCAAGACTGTAGTTCAGAGATTCTTTCCAGCTGATTGGTTATTGATGATTACATATATTTACTTTATTATTTTAAAAAACAAATTATTATGAAAAAATGAAATACAATTTTCCTAACTCAAAAAAACACTAGTATGCTCAAGAATTAAAAACAATACTACATGTCTAGAAAACTGGAAGTCAAAATGGCTACAAGTGAAAGGAAAGTGGGAAAAACAAAGAAAAGAGTGAGTGTAAAGGGAAAAAAAAACAATGAGAAGGACAAATAACCGACATTCTACATGTACACACATATGCCATGAAAAAAAAAACTTGCACCAATGAAAAGTTCATATAAAAAAAGAAAAATCGCAAAGTATAAGCAGACAATTGCTGATACACCCTAATGAGTGGACAGAGTGATTCATGGAGGGGCCGTCTATGAAACTATGCTCTGGAGTTGGGATGCTGAAGGTAACATCAATCAACTAAGTGACAAACATATATATATATATATATACGTGTGTGTGTGTAAACAGAGATTGTGTAAAACACATTTTAATGTGTTTGTATATTTTTTCAGTGATGTTCACATTGTACAAGGCCTACGAGCCACTCAAGGTAGAAGGTTTACAGAGCAAGAGACAGAGTTTATGGGGATAAAAGTTAACCCTAGACTTGAACAAGTTAAGATTGTAGTGTTTGGGGGAGAATTCTCTTGGGATTCAGTTCCACGAAGTAGTGGTTCATGGGAAGAAGCTACTCAAGTGGAACTATCATCTCACCAATGAACATGGAGGGAAAGGGGGTAATTCATTACAATGTACATAGAATGGTGGGTATTAGCTGTGAAGGTTAGAACTAGTGGAACTAAGGAATGTAGTTCATCTGAAAACTTTCCCTGGAAATAGCTATAGAGCATGCAATGTTTTGTCTATGGTAAGGGGGTTGTAAAGTGGAAAATAATTTGTCACTCACAAAGATGCCTTTGAACAAGACTAGAAAATGAAGACTGGGCAGCACCTTCCTGTATATGCCAACTGTACTCTATTTTTGTATTGATTTTTTTATAAAGTTTTACAATATTCAATATAAGAATGGTTTATTTCCTTATGATATAAATGTTTATAAGCACATATGCGTATATGTGCTACCATTGTACATATGAGTATGAACACATACACTGGTGTGTGTGTGTATATATATATATATATGGTGAATAGATAAATGGTGAATAAATAAACACAGATCTGCTTGTCTGTGTAAGATAAATCTATTGAATTTATTGAAAGATATGTAAGGGAAAACAGATGAACATTTAAGCTTGTAATAAAGCTTTATTCAATGCAATTTAATGATTGTATCATCGCCACTTCACTACTCATTAATGTGATCAAGGGCACACGTTATATATCTTCATGGTATTGCAGTTTTTCTTCATTGCATCACCCCACTTTCTTCTATCCAGTTAACAAGTTTATTTAGATTTATAATCAACCTATTTTCTCTTTAGTTGGTTGATTATTACTAACTTAATGTACATAATCTTAGGGAACATTGTATAATATCTTTTATATTTCATACCAACTCAGGATTTATTTTCTTTAGATTTTAGGTACTTTACAAGCCCTGGAGTTGTTATTATACACCCTTGCTGTATACACCCATAGTTTTTCCCCACTAGAGAAGGACAAGGAGGAGGCAAAATGCAGGCACCCTGGTCTTTGTGACCAGGGATCTGGACAGGTTATGTATTGAGTTACGTGCCCATTTATTTTTGTTCTGGCAATTTTCAGAATGACTATATATGTTAATATGTGTCTTAACTCTCTCAGCCTTGAAGTAGCATTGCTGATCAAAAGCTTTCATGTATTAAATTTCTCAAAATTCTTTCATATCTGTTCAGTTTTGTATCCAAACTAAACAAAGTAATTTTCTAATGTAATGGATTTATTTATCAATCTGACAGAATTTAAATGTTATTCTTAGTAGATACACATATTTGATTAGATGTTCCATTTATTTATTAAACAGTATATTTATTTATTTTTATCTACCAGTCTGAATTTTCAAGAAATCTTATTAAAGAAAAATATGAACTCTCCAGAAAGTGCATATTTTTCTTTAATACAATTTCTTGAATATTTTGTCTTGTGCAAAAAGCAACTTCTTTATTTTTAATTTTGATTTTGTAGTGCTCACATCCATTTGACAGGTTTTGGTGTGGAGTGAATCAAAAGGATGTTTTATCTGAAGTCAATAATAACAAGAACAACATAATTAACAGAAAGAATTCAAAAATTCTTACCTTCAGGTTCAAAAGGTATTCACACACTGCATAACAAATACCCAATCCTTCTTCAGCACTGGTGCCTGCAAGAAATTAAATGTAAGTAATAAAAACAATTAAAAGTAATTGTTGTGTAAACACCTAAAAGCGGACTACCGACCATATAAATAATACCGGAAGAAACATTTTGAATCCAGAGACTCTGCCCGACTGTGATTTAAACCCATTATGCAGGAACAGTCTTCACAAGAATATACCAAACTAACTGTAAATATTGTGTACCTATTCTTTGTTTCAATACATTTTGTTAACGTACATTTTGTGTTGTATTACAACTTATTTAAGTTGTTAAAAAATAAAATAGACATTTATAAAAAACATTTAGGACACAGAGCACAACTTACAAGTTGTTATTGTAAATCATTTGCTAGGAATAAAGAAGAAAAATAAACTTATACATGGATGAAAAACTGTGACAACTATAAAATGAAATACAGGCAATTGAGAAATGTTCATTAGATACAAAAAGGCCTGTAAACATTGTTGTTGAAATGTTTCCAGCTATTAACTGAATTGTTTACAACTCACTCTTATAAGGACTTCTGTATATACATGCCCACACATATCTTTCTCACATATATATATAACAGGACAGTGAAGTCAACACTGAGTTGCAATAGTTTAAAAGATCTAAAGATTGTGTTCAACCATGAAACAGGTTGTCACCAATTGCTGTTGACCCCAATGTCCATTGTTATATTTACATACACTATCCTTGATATTGAGCACTTTTAATATATATATACCATATATATATATATATATATATATATATATATATATATATATATATATATAAGTGGACATTGAGGTCAACCCCCATGGAAACAGTCTGTTGTTTTATACTTAAATGCAATCATCAGACCATGTGTGTTGTGTTTTGGATCAACTGTTTATATAAACTGGTCACTGGTGTATTATAGGTATGTCTGTTGTATTATTCTGACAGTTATTTTGGTGGCTATTAAACTGAAATCATTGTGGATCCAAATGTAAAATGTGGCTATTTTAAAGAGTTTTTAATCATTATTTATTACTGATTATTTTATTATATTTGTTGTTGGTTGTTATTATTATGTTTATGTGTGTATTCCTGTTTGTTAATTTGTTTATTATTTAATTTATTCATTTATTGATTTGGATTAGTTTATTTTACTTATTTATTTACTTTTATTTTACTTCATTTTTCATCTATTTATTTTTATTTATTATTTTATTTCTTCATTTCCATGATCTTTCAGTTATTTCTATGTATATTTTTTCTTTGTTATTTGCCAATTTTACAGTGGCTTGGTATATTACATTGTTCTATAAGCAAGTGCCATTTAAGGGACATTTGTTCTTTGATCTGCAGTTACAAGTGGGTTTGATTTGTGTTGGTGGTTTATTGGCTGTTTTCCTGTTGTGCTTTTTTATCATTTGTGCCATGTTCTCGGTGCAACTGTCGCTGATTTTTACTGTGTTTTTGTTGAATATCTTGTGGAGAGTGATTGATGGGAGGAAGGGTTTGTGCATCAGTTTAATGAATATTTTTTCTACATTTGTTTTTTAGTTTTTGTTTATGGTGGGTTGAACCATAAGATCTTTCTTTTCCTGTTTTTTTGCTGTGTGGTGTGTATGTGAGTGTTGCTTTCTTGTCTTCATTGAAGATTGTTTCACTGGAAGAATTGTCTGTAGTTAAGCGACTGTGGGATCTGCCTGATCATTGATGGCAGGTGGTTGAAAGATGTGTATATATAAAATGGTTTGTCATTAGTTTTTCTGTATGGTTTGTATGTACCTTTTCTTAGGTTGAATGTGACTTCTAGGAAATGTACTTCTTTTAGGTTAGTTTTCATATTTATATGAATCCCTTATTTTTGAAAATTTTTATGACTGTTTTTCTGGTTTTGCCAGTTTTTTGTCTGTTATAGTTTCTTAAGATTATGAGATTGTTGTCCCTGTAGACACCTTTTTATCAATTTTTTTACTTAGCTTGTTTAGCCAATGCATACCTATGAGCTCACAGGTCACTGCACCATCAAAGGTCCCTTCTTTCTTTATCTACACTTTTCATTATTAAATAATAGTAATTTTGGTGAGTGTTTAATGAATTTTATTTTGTTTGTGTTTATATTTACTTGTTCTTGAGCTAAGAAGATGGCCTTATCCAGCATGGGTTCTGTTATAGAAGGGTAGAATTCTTGTATATCTAGTTGTATAAATTTAGCTTATACAACTAGATATAATCTAGTTTATGAATGGGAAGTGATTTGAAATTAATTTTAACAGCCAACTTCAGCAGCAAATTTTAAAGAAGAATTTTTTCTTCAATTTTTAACTATAAATCACACCAGCAGAGTTAGAGACTAATTTTTGATTATTTAGTTGAGAGGCTAATTATTTACTATGGAATTTGATAATAAACCTGGCTATCTAACACCCCACACTACAATCCCCTTGATTATTATTTGTCAGCTGCAGTTGAGTGAGAGGCCAACAAAACTCCTTGCAACACCAAAGATGAACTGAAAGCAAGAATTATGGCTGCATACATCAACTGAAAAGTTGCAGAAGATTCTGAAGTTGTCTGGAGACAATGGTTGAAGCCAATGGCGACTTCATTGAATATATTTATTCTTTAATATTTGAAGATATTTTTGTGTAATTTTGGTAAATATATCTTTTAAAATGAGATGATAGTGTTATTTGCATTTTTGTGTAATTTGTGAAAAGAGCATGATGGAGTTATGCATATATCACTCAATAGAGCTGCTGTTCTAGCAGGGAAATCAGGTGTGGGTACTCTGAATGAGTTGACTGTTGTGTTGGATGAGAATTTCCAAGTGAATTATTCAACCTTATCTGCTGTAGATGTTAGGAATTCAAACTGATTGAACAGAGGAGGAATTGAGGATTTGCTGTTGTTCGTCACACTCTTGCAGAACCAGCAATAATCTCTAGAACTGAACTTGCAAGATGCTATATATTGTTTCATTCTACCAGCAAACATTAACTTCACTTCTTTGAAGACATGTTTGCACTCATTACAAGCAGAGACAAACGGGCATTTGTTGCAATCAGACATAACGCTCTGATACAGCCAGATGCATATGTGATATCAAATACTATATATGTATATGTGATGTCAAATACAATAAAACGTTAGGAACAAACTCAATATACTGTTAAAATTATGGTAACTTTAGGAGAAATTGTGATATATGATTTAGAGTATTAGTAACATTACTGATATTTAAAGTAATAGTTAAAGTGTCAGTATTAGTTAGAATAAGTAGTATTTCATTTCCAATTTGAGGTTGAACTGATACTGCGATTGCCTACTAAAAGTAAGAAATAAAAAAAAAATTTGTGACTAGTGAAATGTCAGACTGACTTTCAGAAAATGTCAAAGTAAAGTGACCAAACAAGAAACATTAACAGGCTTTTGAGAGTATTTGTGTATGGATGAAATTTTAAATGTATGTATCTCTTTGTGCATTTGCACAAAGATAAATATATATATGGGAAACATAAAAAAATTTGCAAGAAATTTTACCATGACATGGTTCAGTGTCATCAGAAAAAAAAAGAAAAGAAAATTTTCACAGAGTTATTTTTATATCCTCCAGACTGTCACATATAATTTAACTTGTTTATTTAAATAATGCTCTGTTTTAGCAATTTAAAATCCTCCTTTAAGAGCCAATTTTTATGATATGTCCACCCTGTTGATGTTAGAAAAAACAGATAAACTACTTCTATTTTCAAATAAAGATAAAATACAAACAGATTCTATAACATATATTGTATCTAAATACAGGGTGAGATGGGTAAATACTTGCCAATTTATATTTTAATTTCACATATGTGTGTTGTTTGTTTTTGATTTTGTCAACTGCACAGTATAATAGGGTCAGTTGGGCACTGTCTGTAAGAAAAAGAGCACCATGACAGTTCTTTCTGCCATAGATTTGGAAACGGTATGCTGTACTGCTCAGCATCCACACCAGAAGCTCCAATACAAAAATTTCAGAGTGTTTGGGTGTCAATCTGAGGACAGTGCAGAGGATTCAGAAAGAGTTGAATGAGTCTAATGGTGTTTACAAAGGGGTATGGAGTGATCACTAGAGATGGCAATGTTATGCCTCTATTCATCTTTCTATAGGGCCTCAGACTCAACATGGAGGCCTACATCAAGTTCCTTGAGGAGGTGGTGCTGGCATAGGTCAAGAAGGTGGTTGCTGGAAGACAATATGCCTGACAAAAGGACTCTGGACCATGCCACACAAGCAAGAGAACTCAGTCATGGTTGTCAGACAATTTCTGTCACCACATCACCCCTTATATCTGGCCATCTATCTCCCCAGATTGTAACCCCCCTTGATTATTGTGTGTGGGGTGCAGACCAACAGAACTCCTTGGAACACCAAAGATGAACTGAAGGCAATGATTATGGCAGCTTTTAGAAGGAGACTGTCCAGAAGAGTTGCCTGAGATTCCGATGTTATTTAGAGGCCATGGTTGAAGTCAATGGTGATTTTATTGAATAAATTTACTCTTTAATATTTGAAGATATTTTTGTGTAATTTTGGTAAATATATCACTTAAAATGAGATGTCAGTATTATTTTCATTTCTGTATAATTTAAACGACAATTTATCCTTTGCACCCTGTATGTATGTGCGGACTGTAATGTTACTTAAATTGGAGAGATATATTGTTATTTTTATAAAAATGCAATAGAAAATTTGCATGTCGAGAGTCCACTAATTATTTATTATATATATATATATATATATATATATATAGAGAGAGAGAGAGAGAGTGGACTCTCCTATCAATTTCAGCAAACTAGGACTGAACAGTTCAAGTTGTTGTTTTTTAAACCTGAACCCCCAGACAACCTATACATATGATTTAATTATATTGGTGAGACCTACTATAGAAACTGTCACCTTTTTCAATATTAAGCTTGATTTTTAGCTCTTATAGATGTACAAAATGGCCTAAAATTACAAACATAACCAGTGGCTCTGTGAGGGAGTCATTCTTGCAGCTGAGATGTAAACTCGAAGATATTATAATAGATTAATGAGAGACAGCTGTACAAGTCCATTGAAAGAAAACCAACTTGAGTTCCTTAAATATCTAAAATTTGGAATGCCTATCATGCTTTACCAAAAGCACTATATTTCTAAGTCATGCAAAAGTGCCCACATAGTTGTTAATGAGATTCTCTTACATATCATTAATGCAACTATCTTAACTGTGGTAGGAAAAAAATAAGATGTGTTAATTCCCAGCATCCCCATAATTCCAACAGACTTAATTTTTTTTAATTCAAACAACTTCAATTCCTAGTGATTTGCCATGATTTTCATATGTGTTATATTCCATGCTAATTGGAATATATACTTGACAAACACAGTAGATAAAATAAGTAAAGGTTTATTGTAAAAACCAGTACAATAAGAAATAAGGTAACAGTTATGTGCATGATCATTGCAAGTCAATCCAGTAGTGAGTGCTACTATTGGAAGGTCGGTTGTTCTCGCATAAGTCTGAGTCATACTCAACAGATCTCAGTTAGACTCTGTAGTCCATTGACTTAATGATACTTATAGGTAGTTACTACCTATAGTGTAGTCACTCATGGGGGTGACAGGTTATTCCATTATATCAATATGGATGTCACACATTGTGCCAAACCCATTTAGAAATATTTAAATATTCATCTCTGTACAACCACTTATGTCTTTGAAGTGAGTGAATCTGATAGGTCTTGGCAAAGATCATCCTTCTTTGAACCTTGTGGACTGGCAGTACAGAATCACAAACAACTGTACCAAATAACAAAAATTACAGCACTTGAAGGGTATCAACAGCAGCAACAACTAAAATGTAACTTGAAGAGAAAATAATGCTTCAAATAAAAGTCTAGGAAGGAAACCCACATCAATAAAAGCTATTGTACTTGCAAAACATATTTTCTTTAAAAATTGTTTTAAGAGAAATATTTTATAAATTTCAACCAAAAGCAGTATTGGCTCCTCAGTTAATGAATGCCAAATATTTCCTTGTAGAGAAATGGCTAATGTTACCATTAGCAAGGCAAAAAGACAATCTTTCAAGATAGCTGCTTGTGATTGCAGATTTTATACTTTACTCATGACATGTCCTATGTTGGTTGTTCTAGAATTGGAATCCTTATTAACAGTTTCATATTTGCAAACAATGAGCATAGTGTAAATTTTGTGTACACAGAATCCTTATCTAACAAATATGCTACATTACTTGATTTTGTGGGGTATGAAAAGGTTTTTTTTTTCAGTAACAGTTACATTTTCATGTGTAAATAGGGTAAAATTCATCTTTTTGCATTTGTTGTTTCATTTAAGAAATATATTGAAGATATTTTCCTCTACTACTATACATTAAGTTATTCTTCCCTAGGCAATGCCAGCTACCCCTACTAATTTAGTCACTAAATGCTGTAAAAATCTGATGATAAAATATTGAATTCCGTACTTAAAATTTGGAGCAGATTTCAGTTGTTGTGTACTGAAAATCAGGAAGAAAGGGAATGTCAGTGGTTAGAAATTAATGCAAGCCATATAGTATAATACATGCAATGCAAATGCATTGTTGTTTTGCTATATAAATGCATTGAGTACAAGGAAAATGTAATTGTCGGTGGTTAAAAATTAAAGCAAACTCTATGCTCAAAATAGGAATATTTCAAGATTTGATAGCAGATTTAGGATATTATCTTTTGTCTTAGATAGAAAAATATCAATGATCGAAAAGACATGACAAATTCCTAACTTTAAAAAAATTACTTACCTCGCCCAAGTTCATCAATGACAATGAGTGAGTTGTTTGAAGCATTTTGTATTGCATAGTTGATCTCTCTCATCTAAAAAATAGTAAATAATACAAACACAATGGTTTTCTTGGAATAAAGAGACTTCACGAGTTTGCATTAATATTATCAAGAATTTTAATTAGATGAAACACATGAATGTTGGAATTTCTTAGATGAAGAATTATTATATATTTTGCTATTCATGTTCATCTTGGTTGTTATACCCACACTGTATATGAAAATCCCAGCCTTTGTCTGGGATTTCTTGTAGATAATGCATCCAACCCCAAACCCCAACCCCGCCACCAGGCATTACCTCTCCCTCAGAAGGAAGCTAGGTTTATTCCCTGACACCTGAAGTGTCCCCAAAAGAGGGAGTGCCAAGAAACCCACCTTAAACTGACCTTGTGTCATATCTGGTTGCAAGGTGGGCACATTGGTAATACCTATACCCACAATATTTGTATATGAAAATCCCAGCCTTTGGCTGGAATTTCTTGCATTAATATTAAGCCCAAGCCCTAGGGGCTTTTCCCTGGGAAATAATCTAGCCCTTGGGAGGGGACTGGATTTATTGCCTGGCACCTGAGATGTCCCCAAAAGGGGAAGTGCTAAGGAGACTTGGGAATTTTTGTAAAGTATGGCCATTAAACCCACTTTAAATGTTAACCTTGTGTCACATCTGGTTGTGACCTAGGTACCCTGGTAAATAGATATACACACAATGTTTCTGCCACTGGACCCTCTGACTTTCTTCAGTGTCTAGTATCATACTTGGTAACATTCTCAGAATTTTGAACAAAGCTCTTTATTCAACCTCCTTGGATAGAATGTTCTTGTTATGCTTTCTTTGCCTATGATATATTTCATAGCAGTTAATATTTATCTGTCTTTGTCACTTTTGTGTTTGTTGATTTCTTCCACTGAACCAGGTTATATGAATTTTTGCATCACCAGACCCAGGGATGTAATTCACAATAGCCAGAGAAAGATATGTTTGAACCAATGCTTTAATCTATAGGGCATGTATCTGATAGTGTAGAAGAAACAGACAAACAGCATAAAGGTGAATAAAACTGGCAAGCATTAACTGATATGAAATATTCTCTAAGAATGAGAACAAAAAATTTATCTCTGTGGATTAAATAAAGGGTTATGTTCAAAATTCAGAGAAGGATTACTGAGTATGATAGCAAGCAGCTGAAAAATGTTAGAGGAAGCAATGGATGAAATGATGTGTGTACAAGAAACAACATGAAAATCCAAATCCAAAATAGTATGGCCAAAAATAGTCATGAAGTATTATCAACTATGAGGCATTTTTGACTAGTATTTCTTTCATTTTAATTTTACTTGCTTTTCATCAAAATTACTCAGATTCTCATTCTTTACTGTGGATCAGAAATAAAGAATATGATCAAGACAAGACTTAAACTCACATAACCTTTACCTTGTGAAGCCTGACTATGTATAACAGCTACTCTACAATTTGAGATACTCAATGATTGCAGAACAAATATAACCATATAAATCCAATCCTTATTTGTCCCTGTGCTCAGCAGTATTTTTTATATATACACTAGTAGTATTAATTGAGTGATTTGTTTTTTATGGTTTATCAACCCTTTGTGGGTTGATAAACATGTTTTGGATTCTAAGAATAATACTTTTTGGCAAGTGAATATTGCATTAACAAGATAGAAAAATGATTACAATAAAAGAAATACTAATAGTGGTATTTTCTAGAAATGGGGTCCCTAAAACATTGGTATCAGACAATGCACATGAATTCATGATGAAGATCTATGCAATTGGTTGGGACGGGTTGAGTGCTTCCTTTACAAAACATCACTGTATCACCCACAACCTAATGGGATTTTTACAAAGAATGGTGAAGACAGTAAAAATGGGATTAAAAGCATTTTCCCTAAGTAGAGATACTATAGACAGTTACTTATCAAGTTTACTGCTTAGTTATAGGACTATTCCACATTTTAAAGCCCATATGCATTAATGTGTAGACAAATATTATCTCCATTAAGAATGTCTTATTTGACAAATGAAAGAATGTGGTATAAGAAAGGTAAAGTAGCGAATCCTGAGAGAGCTAATTGCATCATGCAAAGAAGATATAACACAGCCATTATATCAAAGAAAGGAAAAAGCCTAATGGTTCATTCTGACCAATTAAGAACCAGAATTGAGGAGGAAGATGTTGTGATGGAAGAAGATCTTGACAGAGAAGAACGGGTGAGTTCTTCTGACCAGGAAGTAACTCAGACACTGTAGAAGATGAAATGAGACCAAGATCTCTAATTAAAAAGAACATGACATAAACCTCAAGGGGGTGGAAGGAAAAGAGGTTGTAGAAGTTTGGTATTAAACCTCTTTGGTTCAGAAAGGTATAGTGGATTGGTAAGTAGGATAGTACCTATTTGCTTATGACAAGTAGAAGAGACATAAAGTGGATAGTAAACTAAGAGACAGGCAGAAGTTGACTACTGATCATGTGTCATAATACAATACAAAAGCAAAGCAACTATAAGGTAGTAATAAAACTATAAGTTGACAGTAAGAATAATAATTAAGAATAGTGTTCACATACAAAAGGGATATAGTCAAATGGTTATAGCATTCTGACTTCAAGACAAGAAAGAATAAAAATGTAGGAATAAGACTGAGAATTACCTATTTTTATTGGTTAGTAATCCCAGCATGCAACTGTAGGATTTGTTTATAAATTTGCAGAGGGTAATCTCTGGCAGTCATTCACACTGTGGTTGTAACCAACAAGAAATAATGATTTTTCCAGATACAAGTTCTAGTATCTAACCCATATCTGGGAGGAAGAGATGGATTCATTCTTATCCTTTGTGCATAATGTAATGAACCCAACAGAAATTCAAACTCAGCTCTCCAATTTCTTATCCCAAGCTTCTATCCATTATCCCACCTGCACATCCACTAACAGTAGTAATATTATCTTCAGTTTTTTTAATTTACTTTTCAAAATTAATGACACTATCTGTATCAGTTCTCTTTTAAAAGGATGATGGCAGCTCAAATAGTTTCCTTACACAAATTTGATTCAATGTTTGTGTATTTAGCAAAAGTATGCAATATTTCTCACAGTTATTGGTTGGTTGATTTGTTTTCTATGGTTTTGGCAGGTTATTTAAAGCTTTGATTAATAATTCCAACCCATTATCCATTACACAACGTCCAAGCTTACAGCAACTGGTATTCCCAAGCAGTCACCCAACTCGGTACTGAGCAGGCTTGACATTGCTTAACTTCAGTGATTGTATGGGAACTGGTGTTTCAACATGATGTGGCTATAAGCCTCTCATAGTTGTCAAAAGTCATCCATCCCAGTGTTTGATATATGCAAGAGACTGTATGCATTCATTAACATTGATATTAATCAATGAGCCATTGCGATTTCATTAATATTAATTAGTGATATATTTAAATGAGAAAATAATTTCCATGAAATCCAAGAGTGATTCAGAAAAAAATATTCCAGTGATATAACAGATAAATAAACCAATGTAAATGAACGGCCACTCATCTAGATTCTTTCATGCTAACATTGGTCCTACACTGTTTTAAATTTTTAATTAATGACCTTCTCGATGACCTCATCACTCAAGTTGGCACTGACAACACAACTATTTACTTCTGACTTGATAAGTAAGGCTGATCAGTCCAACAAGGTCAAAATGGTAGCTGATGTCAAAAATGACTTCAAGTCCATCATTAACTGGGGCAAAAGATGGCTTATTAATTTTAACACCTCCAAAACTAAACTGCTCTCCATTAATTATCTGAGAGACCCCTTGCTGTCCTCCATCAACATGGCTGATGCTAACCTCCAGGAAAGTGACTCATTCCACCATCTGGGGCTCATGTTCTCAGCTGACATGAAATGAAAAGACTATATTGAATCCATTGCTAGGTCAGTGAGACAATTTTTTCTCCAGAATCTATCTTACATGTCTACAAGTCTATCATTTGTCCATGCTTAGAATAATGCTGTCACATATGGTCCAGCCTCCTGCTATTAAACCTTGAGCTTCTTTTATTATCTGGGAATTGCTATGCATTTTTGGAAAAGATACTGCATTTTTATTTCAGAGTTAAATTAAACTATCAACACAGCTTTCATTGTGTAATAATTTGATAACAAAATATTTAAATGTAGATATTACTTTCAAAAGTGCTTAACTGTTTCTTCATTTTTTCTGAAACAAAAAAAATAATTTTCATGAAAGATTTTCTCTCTTCTTTTTAATGATACATAAGTGTTAAATATAGTTAATACATTTTTTCCTCACTGGTAGCATGGCTGAATTTCATCCACAATGCAATTTTCAGGTACTCAACACAACACCCAAAGATTGTGTTGTGCATGAAACTCAAACTCAGAGCTGTGAGAAAAAAATTTATATTTATTATTAATATATAATTTATAGCTATGTTATATTACACCAAGCACTTTTTTTTTTTTATTAATACCAGTAATCAATGAGCAATATTTTATATATATATATATATATATATATATATATATATATATATATATATATATATATATATTAGTTGCATTATTTACATTACTCGGACTGTTATCATCATTCTATATCCTTCATTGCCATATCCACAATGTTTCAGCCAGTGTATGCTCTAGCCTTCTTCAGATGATTGGAATTTCAAACTGAACCCTTTATTTTGTCCACTGAGGTAAATTATTCTAGTTCCACATGCCATGCCTCTTTCAGATGTCGGAGTTATTTCCCTTTAACTCAAATCTCCAAGTTTTTGAACTCACAACTCTTTGGGACTAGTTGCTGAATCTAACCAACATCTTTATCCACTGAGCCATGTGTCCTTAAGGACATCTGTGTATGAATTTTGGGGACTTATAAACCTAATATCTCAGTAACCATTTTTAACCAGTGCTCATATTGCAATTTTTTCTGTTATTATTATAAATCATTTTTACCAGAGCTTATATTGCAATTTTTGTTGTTATTCATTGCTTTTCTGTAGTACTCCTCATTACTGGTTCTCATACTGTATTCATTTCTATGCTTGGTTGGCTCAGGAGATTTTTGTGGCCTAGCATATGTGCTTATTCCTTAAGGGGTTGGTGATCTCCCTTTTTCTTCCTGATTTTTCTGTTTCCCCTCATGTTACTGCTTTACAAGTTTCTATATTCAACTCTCCAAAAACTTGAAGAGTTGAGTTAAAGGGAAATAACAGAGAAGAGATATGGCACGTGGAACTAGAATAATCTACCTTGGTGAACGAAATAAAGAGTTCCATCTAAAATTACAATCACCTGAAGAAGGCCAGAGTGTACAATGGCTGCAATGTTGTGAATATGGGAATGAAAATGAGGATAACAGTCCAAGTAATGTAAATAATGCAAGTAATCATAATACCTCATCTCAGATATATATATATATATATATATATATATATATATATATATGTATATGTGTGTGTGTGTGTGTGTGTGTTTTAACATAGTTAAAGTGCTAGACAGTATTATTATTATTTGATTTTTTTTAAATACAAAGTAACTTCTTACCTTGACTTTCTCAAGTTAATAGTGAAAGAGGGTTTGACTATTCAATATTCAATCATAGCCATAGCTGATAATCAGAAACTTGAAAATAAATTTTTTTTTTTCACACAACCCCAACTCTCCACTATATAATGATAATAATAAAAATTAAATGTAAATAAAATCAAAATGGAAGCAAGAGTGTTCTACGTGTAGGGTCAAGTGCATGTATTTCAGTTGGAGTACAATTGGGAATGGCCAGTAGATTATATTCTATTAAGCTTTTAAATTAGTATAAGTTGTGATATTTCCTATCATGGTAAAAATCAAGTAGAAGATTAACTGCCACAATTACCACAATTTTCTTTTTTTCTTCTTCTGCCATCAGTTGTTTCAAATATCTCTTCTCACTCTATCACTATACATGGCTGTTAAGTAAGACAATCTTTTGCCCGATAATCAGTATTTTAACGTTTTGGGGGAGGGGAGGGATGGTGAAAAGACAAAAATTATTGAGAGCTATAAAGGAAACTATGGAGAGCCATGATCACTCATGTCTTGAAAGAAGAAAGCACATAATAGGAGAAGAAGAAATCATTTGGCCACTTCCATTTTCCCAATGACTCTTTTAAAAAGCACAATTCTAATTCTTCCTACATTTTGCTAAGTTGAAGGGACACAACACATGGGGAGGCCTTTGTCCCTAACCCCTGGTAATTAAAAAAAGACACACACACACACACACACACACACACACACACACACACACACACACACATGCAGAATGGGTTTGTGTCCTTGAGTAGATCAAATTTGTGAACATTTTGACCATGTAGTATGAAACTTTTTTAACCAGATAAACACCAACATAAAGACAATAGAAGAGAAGTTCTAAACATCAAAGGAACAAATTGCAACTTGAGAAATTAATTCTTTTGTTTTATTTATTTCTCATCAGATTTTTGTTAAAGCCTGTTGAGAAAACTATACAAATATTTATAGAACTTAAACTATGCATTCACTCAAGAGAACAATGAAAAACCATGATTTCAACTAGGATTGAATTATTTAAAATAAATGACTTTACTGTGTTAAAATTATGAAAAAATGACAGGAAGGAAAGTAAGTTATCTAAAGTAATCTATTGATGGAAATTTTTATTTTTTTTTATTATTAAAATCTTTGGCTGTAATTTAAAAAAAATTTTTTTTACTATCAGAATCTATTGTGGGAATTATTTTATTTTTTTTCATATTAAAATCTATTGCGAGAATTATTTTTTTCCTATTTAAATCTATTGCTAGGAATTATTTTTGTTAATATTAAAATCTATTGCTGGAATTTTTTTTTTTTTTTCTTATTGTTAAAATCTATTGGTAGTAATTATTTTTTGTTACTATTAAAATCTATTGCTAAAAATATTTTATTTTTTATTATTAAAATCTACTGATGGAATTATTTTATTTTTTTTGTTACTATTAAAATCTATTGCTGAAATCTATTGATGGGAATTATTTAATTATTTCTATTACTATTAAAATCTATTGCTGTAATAATTTAATTTTTTGTCACTATTAAAATCTATTAATGGAATATTTTTTTTTTTATTAAAATCTATTGCTGGAATTATTTTTTACCATTAAAATCTGTTGCTGGGATTAATTTACTTTGTTTTTATTATTAAAATCTATTGCCGGAATTATGTTCATTTTTTGTTTCTATTAAAATATATTGCTGGAATTTTTTATGTGCTTTTTGCTATTAAAATCTATTGCTAGGAATTATTTATTTGTGTTACTATTAAAATCTATTACTGGAATTAATTTTTTTACTATTAAAAGCTATTGCTGGAATCATTTTATTTTTTTGATACTATTAAAATCTATTGATGGAACTATTTTTTTTACTATTAAAATGTATTGTTGGAATTATTCTTTTTATTATTAAAATGTACTGAATGGAATTATTTATTTATTTTTGTTACTATTAAAATCTATTGATAGAATTATTTTATTTTTTGGTTTCTATTAAAATCTAATGATGGAATTATTTTGTTTGGTTACTGTTAAAATCTATTGATGGAATTATTTTATTTTTTGTTACTATTAAACTCTATTGCTGGAATTATTTATTACTATTTAAATTTATTGCTGAAATTAATTCATATTTTGTTACTATTAAAATCTGTTGCTGGAATTTTCTTTTTTTGTTACTGTTAAAACTTTTTGCTGGAACTATTTTTTTTTTTACTATTAAAATCTACTACTGAAATTTTCTTTTACTATTAAAATGTATTTTATACTTTCATGATGTTTTAACCTCAGTTTGGGAGTTCACTGTTTGCCTATAACTGGGAGCCTAACAGGAAGTGCTTATCACCCTGGGAAATTATGATTAATAAACCTAATGTACTTGTGTAAATTGACTGCAGAACAAGGACTGTTTGTGATAGTAAGAGAAATTTTCCCCTTTACTATCTTATATCTATAAAGGATAGGAAGTTGTGGAGAGCTACAATTGCTCATATCCTGAAAGGACAATCTCCATAAAAGATGTTGGTTGAATGTCACTTTGTTAATAGGCTAATTTGTTCTCACTGATTGTTTTATCTATAGATTGTTTCATCACCTAAAATAAGTTCAGATGTAAAATCTCTGGGGCACATAATAAAAAAAGAGGGTTTGGAGAATTCAACACTCACAGGATATATTGAAGACAAGAGGCACAGAGGGAAACGGTGAGCAATCTACCTAATGAGCTTGTATAAATGGAGAACAGGGACTGGGTGGGATAGTAAGGTGAAAACACTGTATAGAGCTACAAAGAATAGGAAAATGTGAGAAAAAAATAGAAAATTTGATTGCACAGGTCCTGAAAGGACATGCTACCAAAATGAATAAGGTGATGTTAACTGCAAACTAAAATTCTTAGTTTGCTGATAAAATGAGACACCATATAGCCTCTCACAAGTTTGGTTTTAGAGATTACTGGCAGCTCTGTAAGTGTGTATTTGCTCTTGTTCAGACAATAGCAAATCCTCACTTCCTCCTCTCTGCAATCAGTTTCAAGTATTGTCATGTACTGCAGATAAAGTAATTCCTAATTCATTAGGAGTATCTTTGCCTGATTTTCCACAGAACATAATCTTTACTGAGTGATATACACATAACTACATCCATAGTTTCAGCAATCATTTCTAAACAAGATCCCCACAAGGCTTTTGCTGATTAAACAGTGTCCATGCAATTGTCCAGAGGAAATGTGCTACTAAAATGGCTTCTGTTTTCTCCAAACTCTAAAATAAATGACACACTGATTCTTACTTTACAGCTTATTAAGAAATCCTCCTCTTTAGTTTCTGTCTAAGCACTCTGGTGAACCTTCTGACCCCTCAAACTATCTCACTATTAGTCTTTGACTCTCATTAATGCCAAATTGATTAAGCATTTCACTTCACATGCCCTTCTTTAACATAGCAACAATTTGCTCCTTCTTGTGCCCACATTTTCCACTGACATGAAGGGGAGTGATTATATTAAATCAATTGCTATATGTACTGCTGGGAAAGTTGGTTTACTGTGTAGTATCAAACAGTTTTTCTCATCAGAATCCATCTTATATATTTACTAGCAGTAGAGCCCGGCGTTGCCTGGGGATATAACAGTAAGAGATAGATCAAGTATCCACCATCATAATGACTGAAAAATAAAATTGACAAAGATTATTGTTTAAGGTTGATGGACACGCATGTCTTAATTAGTTTTTTTTTTTGTTTTTTTTACGAATTGGTCAAACCCAAACTCAAACAAAAACATTGTTTTCAATCCTTATGAGTCTCCTGATTGAATAGTGTTTTATTATAAATAATTGTCTTGTAAATGGAATTTTTAAAGCATTCTGAATGTCAAAAATAAAGAAAAAATTGTGCAAGAGAATACCTGCCAAAAAAAAAAAAGTGAAGTTTTGTTTTATCGGCTGAAAAATATAGGAAATCCGATCCCATATTTAAAGGAACCCATACACACAAACAACCCGATGTGAGTTGTCCCCCTTCCATTTTCACAATGTCTCTTAATCGTGTTTTCAAATTGATTTTGTGCAAAAACAATTATATTTTTCCCATTTTTGGCACTGTTAGAACCACCACAAGGTAATTTTATGTAGCCCTGTGAAGTTTTGTTGAAATCGGTTGAAAAATGTAGGAAATCCGATCCCATATATAAACGTTACAGACACACACACACACACAATCTGCGTTTTATAATAAGTAAGATAAATCTACCATTCATCCATGCATTGAATTTTGCTATCATATCTGATCTGGTGCTTCTACTATATATCTCATGATTTTTGACAAAATCCAAAGAACGGTCTATAATGTAATCGATCTTAACCTGGCATCTCAATTTCAGTAACTTTCCAACTTTCCATGATGTGACTTACCTCTGCCTTTTCATAGCAATTGCTCTGATGAGTTTTCCTTTTTGTTTGCCTTGATTGCATGAATTTAAGCCTTCTACTAGATTGGCAATTATGTCTCTCCATTTTACAGTTGAACTCACTAGATTATGTTCTATTTTAATTAGTTTCTTTTTATGCCTGCTTTCCTAACACCTACAATATTCAAAAATTTAAATGCAACACCATTTGCTATCTTCTGTCTTCCTGAACTTGGTTCTTTTATTGTCCTTTCTCTAAGGTCTTCTCATTCACTTTCACTCCCAGCATTCAAATGGCATTATTGCTTTGCTTGGGGTGAAATGATTAAAAATATATATATATTAATTCAGTTTTCCTGAACTTGCACTCTTTGTCAGATAACTTAAAATATTTTCTGGTGAGCATGTCATGCAGGTTGATAGACCACACTCAGACAGAATACTTTCTTGGCTATACCTTAGGTAACCTATATTTTGTAGGCATCTTCCTTCAGATATTGAAAGAATGCTTTTACCTCCAACATGAAAGTTGAAGCATTGGTCTCAAGGTCATCATCACTGCCAATTCGGGAAAAAATCTGATCGCAAATACGGAATGATGCGTACACAGAAGGTATATATGATCCAATCTGGGCCATTATCTGCAGCAAGGCAACTTGTCGGAGGTAGGTTGATTTACCACTCTGAGAAGAGAAAATAAAATAACAAATATGATTCAATTAACTTCATTCTTAACAGGAAAAATGTCTAAGATAAAAACTAAAGCCCCAAACCCCATTTATGCCTTTTACACAATAATATCCAATTTTTTTTAGCTATTAGATTTTTTACTATAGCATGAACACATTTTGCATAAAAATATTCTTGATTTTATTTAGGAATTATTTTCTCTTTACTTAAACATGCTTGTTAAAATCTTAGTATGAGGAAATCCTGCAAAATATTAAATTAATTTTTTCCTGAAAAAATGGGGTGATATTTTCTAGAATCTATTTTTATATACTTTGCTTATTAAATCGATTGTAGTTATTTCCCTTACACTAAACAGAAATAAATCGAAATTAGAGTTCCAATGAAAAGTTCTTTTTTATTTTACATTTAAATTTGTGATTTTTTTTTATTTAAATTTAATTTTGTTTTAATTTTCTTTTTAATCTGATTTTAATTTAAGTTTTTGTTTTAAATTTAATATTAATTTTATTTCTTTTAAATTCAAATTACCTTTTTTTTTTCTTAAAAATGACAGTGAATTGGAAATTTATAGTCACATAACTTGCAAGGAGCTTATTCAATTATTCTTAAGAATTATGATTCATCAGAAAATTTAAATAACAAAACCATGACATTTTTCTCGTTGTAATTGATTTTACTACAGTGAATTCATTATAAATGATTTTACTGTAGAAATGCATTGAAAATCAAGAAGAAAAAGGATTGTCAGTGTTCAGGAATCAAGGTAAACATCTCTGACAGAATGGGGCTGTTATATTTATAATGTAAAAGCAATGATAATGGTTTACTATAGATAAAGCTTTATAAATGGTTTACCAGGAAAATTCATTGAAAATTAAAAATGGGATTTTCAGAGCTCAGTAATTCAAACAAGTACTACAGAGACAGTAAAGAGCAATTTATTTAAATATTAGCAAATATGTAGCAAAACCTCTGCGCTTCCTATAATATAATAGGCAAAAGATATTAATCATTGTCTGATGAATTACTAAGTTAACATTATGTTTTAAATAATTAGTGGGAAAATAATCTCAATAAAATTTGAAAGCTTATCAAAAATATATTGTAAAAAATAAACATCAGAATAAACTTACCATATTTGGCCCAGTGATTATGATAAAGTTGCTGTCATTTGAGGCATACTGAAAATATAATAGAGGATATCCATTTCTTAGATAAAAAAAAATGTATTAACAATGAATAATTAAGAAAAATAATATAACACAAGAGAAAATGACTTACCTCCAGGATGAAAACGGATTCAGACATATCTCACATGTAAAATATTCTCCAAAAGAAAATGGCAGCTTCATGAGATGTATATTTAAAACAGACAGATATTGGAGTCATAGATAGACTTTGTGAGACTCTATTTTAACATATGTAAATTCGAACTGTTATTCAAACTACAGAAAGTGCTTAAAGAGGCAACAGAAAAAGTGCAACTATGGTAGTGAACAGGAGATACCTGTTGTTAGATAATTTGGCTTGTGTTACTCGGTTGGTTGAAGGAAACAGAGTAAGAAATTTATTAAAAGCCAGAAGAAACAAACTACAAATAAAATGTTTTATTTAGAGTGAAATTTGAGATTTATTTCATCTGAAAACTTGATATAATAAAAGTAAAACTATAAGCATGAGCATGATCATTATTATTATGGAGGATTTGTAGAGGTTATCTTATGACAACATATATTACCTCAGTATATAGGTAGAATTTTGGTTTGGGTGTATATTAGACTTGTGCAATGATTAAAAGAAAATGCACAGATTGTTGATAAATACAAAATAAATCTTTACATAATACAATATAATAATAGAGAAGGATAAAAATGAAAGTTGAAGTTCCAAGAGATCAAGTGTAAAAGTCATGGTACATACAAGAGAAAGAGAGAGAGAGAGAGAGAGAGAGTCTGGGAGGAAGTAAATATATATGTATATGTATGTATCCAAAAGTAGTAGCTGCCTGCTTAGCAATGTGGGTGAAGGAATGTATATTTTTTTTCAACTGTATCAGTGGTCTGTTAAAAAGATTGAGAAACAGTGTATGTTTTCAATATAGCAGGGTGGTTTAGCTTTCTCAAGTCACCAGCTGGTCACACAAATGTTGCCTTTTGGCTCTGTTTATGTTATAATGGCCCCATCATTGAAGAATGGACAAAATTTATTTATCAGTTCTTGTTTTCATTGATTTTACATATGGTTAGATGCATATCTATAGATCTGCTTTGAAAGGTGCTCTTGGTTGGTCAAAATATGGATTTGTGACCTAGTGATTCTGATTATCCATCTATTCGCAGAGATGGTGAAACTCCAGTATCCCTGCTACTATTCATTTCTACTTATTTATTTCTCCATCACTACATTATATTATTTTGTATTTGAATTTCTTAGATGAAGCCTTGTTAATTCTAATTCATTTTAAACTAATATTTCTTTCATAATATTTTTGTTATATGCTTACATGTAGTAGTAATAAATATAACAGACTTAAGTTGTTTGAATTTTTTTTGATGAAGCATTGTCAGTTGTTTATTCAATTATCCCTTAGGGGAAATTCCCCATCTGGTTGAGAACCCCTGTTCTAACAGTAAAGTCTATTTTATAAATATTTTTCTTCCTTTTTTTTCAGTGAGCTGTGTACACACAAGTATATTTTTTCTCTTCTTGAATTATGTTATTCTTCATATAAAAAATACATATGTAAAATATCCCCATTTATTGAAATTCATTTCTTTTGAAAATGTTGAATTTATTTACTTTGAAAGTTTTCAGCCTAATCAACAACAAGTCCTAACTCTAACTCCACCCAAGAGATTTGCAGATCATGGCACTTACAATGCATTTTATTTCTGAGTAAATTATATTCCATTTTTTTTTATTAAAACAGCATACTCATCTAAACTTTACTCTCTCTTGTGTGTGTGTGTGTGTGTGTGTGTGTGTGTGTGTGTGTGTGTGTGTGTGTCTGTATTTGTGTGTATGTATTTTAAGAGACAGTGAAGATATTTATATTTTTCAGGAAATTTTCAGACCCAACTCTGAGTTTCTTAAGACCATGCCATTTAATAATTTCACAACTCTTTAAAAGATTTTCTGACCCACTTTTTTTTATTAACACCTTCATGTTTATTGTGTATTAAGAAAAATTCCAATGCCTCAATTATTAATACTCTTCATCTCTAAGAATAAATGAATCATCTAAGAATAAATGTGTGTGTGCATGTATATTAGGTGGCTAAGAGTGTATGTATGCATATGCATATATGTATTAGGAACATAAGAGTATATATGTATGTATGTATATTTATGCATGTGTCTATGTGTGTGTGTGTGTGTGTGTGTGTGCATTCTTGTTCACAAGTATAAGTAAATACAGAGATTTGAAAAGATAAGCAACATGAGTTTCTTCCAATCAAAATTCTTGCTGAAGATAATGTGAATAAACATTGAAATATAAACAAAATTTCAGTTTCACCATTGCATAAAATAAAAAGCTGTTACTGTATTATTAGGAACAGGAGGATCCATGCTTATCTTCTCCAGGATTGGATGCCTGCCTTGTTTAATGGCTGTTGTGTCTGTAAATTCTGGACAAACTAAAAGAAAAAAGAAATGTGTAAGTAAAATTTTATTTTAGAAAAATAATGTTTTATTTTTATGTGGAAATTAAAAAGACCTTCATCAGAATAGTAGATTTAAAATGAGATAATTTAATCATTGCTATATTTCTCACAATATAACATACACTTGTTTATAAAATACATGCTTACAATTCAGCAAGGAAAAAAGAATTAAAACTTATACTGGTATTTACTTATATAGTATTTTTTTAACATTATTTCATTATAAGGGTTATAAGAAGGCAAGTATGTCTAACAAAGTTGTTTAGGTATTAGTTGAGTATCCAAACAATCAATTGGATATATGACAAATGATAATTTGTTGAGGCATTTTTCCAAGAAGAAAAAGCATGCCTTATATTGCAGGAAATATGCAACATATATATATATATATATATATATATATATATATATATATATATATATATATATAAATATAGATAACTAGACTCGTTTCGAAAAACCCTCGAATTTTTGATTTGCTAATCAAATCAATCTCGAGGGAAAAAAGGTTTTAAAAAAAGAAAAGAGCAACAAACATGGACTTCTGCCGACAAAAAATCGCACAGATGCAGGTCTGAAGCCCAAAGAAAAAAACCCGATACGAGTAACAACTAACTAACAAAAGAGCTCAATACAACCGTAGAGCAGACCTAGATACACCTAGTGAGCCAGACAAACCTACCTAGGTTTCACCTAAACGGATCGTCAGGGAAAGTTTGGCCAAACTTTCCCTGACGATCCGTTTAGGTGAAACCTAGGTAGGTTTGTCTATCTTTAATTAGGTGTATCTATATATATATATATATATATATATATATATATATATATTTGTGTATATTTAGGCAGCAATTTTTCATTAATGCATGTTTCATTAAATAATATAAACAAGTTTTACCTATTTATTTTAAGTAATTGAATGATAACTCTAACATTTTTAGACATTTAAAACAACATGCCTGGCCGCATACACAATTGTGGAAAATCATTGTTGAAAACACAACTATACTTAAACATGAAAACAATAAACAAAAACTAAAAATTCTTGAAGCTATATACATAAAACAGTTGAAACCTAACCTGAACAAAATAAACTATGAAATCTCCATAAATATACTTGAATGCCCATAATTGATAACAGAAGCCATTGGTTTATACCAATGGCTTTCCATACTTAATACTTCTTGTTTTCACTCTCATGTGTGATGTCACGAGCTGCGAAATGATTTTCGCTTCCGCGTCTCGTAATCACGAGTTAGTTGTTGCTTTGAAATTTTTCATGCAACAAAAACAGACTATCATTATTGTTTCGTCTGTGTATTGGTTGATATATTGAAAAGTAATTGTCATCTTTGATAATGGCTTATGTAAGCCAAAAGCTTAGATTGGATTTGAACATGTATCAATATGGTGATTTCCTTTCATCTTTCAATGATAATGTTATTAATCTTATCAGACAATATGAAAGGAACTTAAAATAGACAAAACTTGTCTATATTATTTAATGAAACATTCATTAATATATATATATATATATATATATATATATATATATATATATATATATATAACTCCATAGATCAATCCTAGCTTCCATATTTATCTCTCATACATTATAAGCTCTGTATAGTTGAATATACTCTATTGCTATTACATAGAAGATGACACCCCCCCCCATGAAGGGCTCCTTTTTATCACAATTCCCATTCTGTGACTGTGATTAATAAAGAAAATGCTTCATCTCTAAATTCAGATGACTTAATATTAAATACTTTCTCATTTTTTCTTATGTTCATTTTAATATTGAATTATTAAATTTGGTTTACAAGGTGAAGCAAATCAAGATCTTACCATACTCTGAGAGGGTGCACAGATGAGCAAATGACAGCAACATGTCCAAGGTGGAGACACTCTCTGACAACTTGTAAAGACAGCTGATACAATCTCGGATATCATTTAATAACTCAGTTACAACTCTATAAGAAAGAAACCAAAATGTCAATTTAAATTTTTAAAATCCTGAAATAATGCCTAATACAATGACCCTAAAAAACTGTTTTTCTAAGTAAAATAGTATGAAGTATCTGGTTTCTATAGTAACAGATGAATAAAATGTGACAGAAATCCAAAGATGCATTGGAGAAACAAAAGAAGTCTTCCAGAAAGTAAGAATAGCAATAAAACATAAGTTTCATTAAAAACAAAGAAAAGAGTGCTATATCAACATCTATCCTCTTATATGTCAGGAAATGGCAGACAATTTCCTCACAATTAAAGAAGAGACTTGAAACAACAGATATGGTTCTATAGACAGAGGCTGAAAATACCATGGGTTGAACGCTGGAGCAATGAGGAAGTTTTAAAGAAAACTAGAGACATGCTTATACTTAAAATCAGAAAGAGACCGTTGAAATTTCAAGGACCAATTATGATGAAAGAGTGCTTGAAAAATTAAACAGTCACAGGACATAGTGAAGGAAGTGGACAGGGAAATATCAAGCTACCTACGTAATGAGTTCGTATGAATAGATGGTAGATTGGGAACAAAGAGGGATAATAAAGAATCAAATGTTGCTTAGAACTACAAGGGACAAGAAGCTGTGGAGAGTCATGATCATCCATATACTGAAGGAACATGGCACATAAAAATAGATATTTGATACTCACATGTTTGTCATGAGATAGATTTCTTGGAGGGATTCTTTGACACGATCTGTAGAAAAGAAAGGAAAAAAAGCAAAAGAGAAGTGTAGAAAAAAGTAAAAATTTTAAATTACAGAGGAAGTCATTATTATAATTACTTTGGAACAGTGATTTTAGATAACAATAATCAGCTGATAACATAAAGCAGGTCATATAAAAATTGAAACAATTTATATTGTTCTAAATTCATTGTTATAAACAAATTTACATTATAAAAAACATATAATTTATTGACTTGATTATTTTTTTATTTACATTGTGATCTTCCATATATAAAGTAATGCAGTTTTATAATTATTATCATTTTATTGGTTTGTGGCTTACAGTTACATCACATTGAAACACAGTTTCCTGCATGATCACTCAACTTAAGCAACATTGAACCTTATTCTTTTATGTAGCAAGTCTTTCAGGATATAGGTAATCATGGCTTTCCACAGTTTTATGTTATTGTTGGTCTAAATAATTTTTTTACTCTTTACAATTTCTCTTTGTCATTTTACTATCCATTCATGCAAGCTCATTAAGTTAGTCACTGTTTTCATTTGCTTATCTTGCCTTCACTATGTTCTTTTATTTAATCACCCTAATCAAAGTGACAATGTCACTTTACAGGTAAAGTGGATGAGAAGATTAAAGGGCAAAAAAGGAACAGGGTTCAAGACAGAAGATAGCGATTGATGTTGCATTTAAATTTTTGAATATTGTAGTTACTAGTGAATCAAGCTTCCTTGCAACAGACATAGCAATTGACTTGATATAGTCTCTCCACTTCATGTCAGTGGAAACATCAGCCAGTCATCTTGATCATGTGTGTTAAATTCTCCAGGAACCTTACCTCATTAAGTGTCACAGAAATTTCAAACATCTCTTTCTGATTATAATTATCAGTTTCCTTGTAGCTTTTTATTTTTCTTTTGGTATTCAAAGTATTTATTGGTAGAACCACAACTCTTTTGCTTCAAATATTTTCATCTGTGAAAAAATTGTCTACCATTCATTGTCATATAGGAGATTATAAATTACATAGCAGTTAAACATTTTTTTGATTTATACTATTTACATTATTTGGACTATTGTCCTCATCTTTGTTGCCATATTTATCACAACGTTTCAGCTGTTGTACGCTCTGGCCTTCTTCAGGTGGTTGGAATTTCGAAATGAACCCTTTATTTCGCTTGCTGGGGTAGACTGTTCTAGTTCCACGTGCCATGTCTAATGGATGTCAATTATCAGTTATCTCCTGTCAATTCCCCTCTCCAAGTTCTCCACCACCTTAACTGGTTATTGAACTCACACTCTTTGGGTCCTGTCACTGGATCTAACTAATGTCTTTATCCACTGTGCCATGTGTTCTTGAGAACATCTGTGTATGAATTTCTGGGTATTATAAACCTAATGTCTTCAGCAACCCTTTTTTACCAGTGCTCATATTGCAATTTTTTGCTGTTATCAATTCATGTTTTTACCAGAGCTCATATTGCAATTTTTGTTGTTATTATTGCTTTTCTCTGGTACTCCTTATTACTGGTTCCCATATTGTATTCATTTCTATGCTTGGTTGGCTCAGGAGATTTTTGTGGCCTAGCATATGTGCTGATTCCTTAAGTTTACGAATTTTCCAATGATGTTCTTTAGCTATCATTTCAACCTGATCCCACAGAGTGCGGTGATCTCCCTTTTCTTTCCATATGTGGTCAGCCATGCCTGATTTTTTCACTTCCCCTCATGTTACAGCTTTCTGGTGTTCTTGAAGGCTTACCTTAAGGGGGTGGCCTGTCTCCCCTTTATATTTCTTTCTGCACTTGCACAGGATGGTGTACATACAGTCTTTAGTTATGTTCTCCTCTATGGTCTTACACAGGAGAAGTATCTACGAAGTGTCATCCAGCTTTTGAGGGTTGTCCTGATGTTATATGGACCACAGATCCTTTGTATTTTCTCTGATATCCCCTTCACATAAGGCAGGCAGACTGTTTGTTGTTGTCCTCCTCTTTTACCCACCTATCCCAGTTTCTTTGGGCTGCTGCCATGTACCCCAGGGAGTTGTTATGTTGTAAGGTACTACTTATACTGACCAAGATATCAGAACATCCAGGAATGGGAGCATGCTGTTACTCTCTTTCTCCATCGTGAACTGTATTGAAGGTCTTATTGATTTCACATGGTCCAGTAGAACTTGAACATCTTCCTAGTGTGGCCAGAGAATGAAGGTGTCATCTACATACCTTAACCATAGAGTTGGCTTTATAGATATAGATTCTAATGCCATTTCCTCAAAGTATTCCATTGCTGGTGATAATGGTGAGCGCATTGCTATGCCATCATCCTGTCAATATATGTGTGATCCCATTCTGAAGTGTGTTGCTTGTGTACAGAAAGTACACAAAGATTATCTATTAGAATACTGGCCCATTCTTCTAGGGATGAGTCAGAGGCCAATCTGTCTCTGACTACTACGAGTGCCTCCTCCGTGGGTACCTTTTTATTTATATTTCTCATAATATTTTCTTACGTCTTAATACTTTGCTTAGTTTCTGGAAGACATCTCTTGCTATTACAAAGCATATTCAGATTTCTGTATTGCATAAAACATTGAAATTGACTAAATAGTATATACAACAATTTACTAAACTTAGTTTGCTAACCACTACTTTGTGGTAAGACACTTAGTTTTGTCTGGCACAGGGAAAACTTGTGGGGGATCCAATGAAGACCAAACTTAGTATAATTTGCTTGCTAACTAGTGTTCTATTGGGAGGCAACTTTTAACATAGTTTGGAACAAGGCCACATGTGTGAAACATCAAGGGAGTATCAAATTCATTTTTAATAATAATGGTCTATAAGAGTACCTGTCTAATGATTGCTCTGCAGTGTGATTCTTTAGATATTTACAAAATTTAATTAAGCCTGGTTGAGGGTCACAAGTGTGGAATGTCCAGTGAAGATCAAACTCAAAATGATTGTAGTGGTCTATGAAACTTATTTGCTATATTCTACTCTATAGCAAAGTGTTCCTACTAGATGTTTATTAAGCATAGCTTCATCTGTCACAAGCCCACATATGTGGAGTATCTAGTAACTGACAACAGTAATAATGATCTATTAATCTAGTTTGCTAACCAATGCTCCATGGTGTTTTTACAATTACATTTTTCTTTATAGTGGTAAATCTTGATCATGCTTTGTTATCAATTTATTTACAGATGGTTAGAGATATTTCTTAGCTCGAGAAGTTGAAATATCACATTAAAAATGAAAGCTTACAAAATATTTATAAAATAGCTGCAATAAATTTAGGAATAAAAGGTAAATATTTCTGAAGTATCCCTCAAACAACTCTGAATTAAAGAGTAAGAAAAGACATTTTTCATTAAAGTTAAAATAGAAACAATATTAAAAAAAACGAACAAGTTAAAACAAATAATATTTTAAAAAATGAACTATTAAAATAAATATTTAAAAAATTATTTTTGATTTTATATTACAAATTTTTGATTTTATATTACAAATTTTTGTTTTTAAATTTAAAATTATTTTCTCATCCAATTAGAAAAAAGAAATATTGAGTTAAAACAAAAAATTATAGCATTCTTAAGGGTATTTCAAAGACAAAATTTAGATATTTATTCAACTACACATGTGCCATTTTCTCTCACTACCTTTAGCCATCTTTGAGGCAGCTTTGATTTTAATCTCCCAGAACTTTGTATCTATCTGAGTGATGAACTGGCTTAAGTGGTTTTTACAGACTTCCAGAGAATTGAAGTTCTTCACACAAAGACAATTTTGTAGGGATTAAAATCAGTAGTAATCCAAAGGTGTAAGTTCAGGTAAGTACAGTGGGTGTAGTAGGACATGCCAACCACTCTGTACCAACTACTTTAAATAGATGTGAAGTCTGTTGTTCTCCTGATGGAAAATCACATTCTTGCAATTGACCAAATCTAGATGCTTTTCATCAATTGCTGCCTTTAATCAAATCAACTAGGAACAGTACTTATTTGAATTCAACTCCTGATTTTACAGAAGGTGCTTCAAAATATATAATGCCGTTCCAATCCCACCTGAATTACAGCATTACTTCCTTAGAACAGATTTTAGAATGGTTAATAGTGACTCATTTAATTTACTGCCATGAATTTTTTCAATTCACATTGTTGTAAGCAATCCATTCTGCATTACCTATAATCCTTCTTTTCAAAAATGGATATATCTTGTTGCATTTGAAAAGAAAATCCATTAGATTGTGAGGAATCCAATCATTGTAGTGATTCACATATCCTAGTGTTTTTAAAAAAACCTTACAGAACTCATAAGACATGTGGAATATCTCTTCTGTCTATTGTCATGTGACCTGGATTATTTTCAATTGATGATTTCAATTTGGTTATCATCAACTACTGCAGGCTTGCTGAAATGTTTTTGATCTTCCAGAAAAAAATTCCCACATCAGAATTTAGCAAACCAACTTACAAGCGATAATCTCACTTACAAGAAAATTTGAATTTTAAATCAATTTAAGTAAAGCAATTGAATAAATTAGCTGAACTGAATGAAAACAAGGTAACAAATCAAAACTTACCATTAAGTTTTATCTGTAAATTAATCCAATAAATGCAATCAGATAATGCATTTAATGACAGAGTGATACCCAAAGGTTTAAACAGCATAAAAACAAACAAATAATGCAAAAACCTTTACCATTACTATTCATTCCTTGTGAATCAATTTGTAAACAACAGGCAAAAAGTACCTTGAAGTCAATAGTAGAAACTAGTTGTCAGAGAAAGTCATTTCTGTCAGGGACAAATTCTATAACTTTGGAGTATCACTTCACATATTTTTCAAAAACTCAACTTATGTATAGAAATGAAGGAAAAATGTGGTTTATCACATTTTTCCTTCATGGATGAGTTAATTGCTATATTTTTTTTAAAAGTTAGATGTTTAGACATTTCTATTCAGATGAAACTGTTTGGCCCAGTGGCAAAGGGTGAATTTGAAA